CTCTCTCTCTCTCTCTCTCTCTCTCTCTCTCTCTCTCTCTCTCTCTCACACACACACACAAACACACCCATGCAAGCTTTGAGTATTAGAAGGTGCAGAGGAGGAAAAAAATGGATGCTTCCGATATAAATATATTAATCTTATTGATTATTTGATTGCCTAGTTTTACCATGTTGTAGCTTGTTTAGATAATAATCCAACTTTTAAAAGTATTGCTTCTTTTGAGTTCAGATCTGTGATTTCATTGGTGTAGGGTACTCTTGTTGAAGAAACATCATCCACCAATGCAGATTGACAACTGCTTTACAACTTAGGCTCTTAGAGAGATGTCTGAAGCACTGACAGGTTAGATGATTTACCCAGGATCACATAGCTAGTATTTGTCATAGGCAAGTTTGAACCAGGTCTTGCTGACTCCACAGAAATCTCTCTACTACAATAGTCTCTTCTCTGGGAAAAAAAAAATAAGGACTATATAATTGATGAAACCTATCAATACTATTATTAGGGAAGGAAAGGAGAAAATGAGCATTTATTAAATCCCATATGCCCAGAATTGTGCTCAGCTCTGGAGATACAAATGCAAGCACAAAGAAAGACAATCCCTGTGCAGATGGACTTGACATTCTAATGGGGGATGTTAATACACAAAAGGGGGCTGAAAAGCTAAGTTGGGGATTGGGGTAATTAAAGTAGCCAGTGAGGGGGTATGTTAATGAATTTCAGAAGCCAGGAAGAGAGGCCAAGAGGGGAATGAAGGCTAGCTTGAATCTCTCCACAAATTAGAGGCCACAAGAGTAGCTCATCAATGGGATAATGGGGCAGGCCTTAGAGACAGATCTTCCAAGTTGAGAAGGATTCCACAGTTGGATGTTCCAGCATGAGGAATTCTCAGCTGCTTAGGGCATTCTAGAATCCAAGTGGCAGAGGTATGGTTTTTGAAGTCTGCAAGCCAGGAACATGACTGGGAAAGGTTAACTTATCTAAATGCTACATATTGCCTTTTAAAAAGCACACTGGAATGTATTTCTAGTTAATTTTTTGTCCTTGAAAATCTCTCTCTCTCTCTCTCTCTCTCTCTCTCTCTCTCTCTCTCTCTCATCTCTTTCATTAGTAACACATTATTATAATTATAATTATTTTATATTATTCTTTGCACACACCAATGCAAAGCACAAGCCTTCTACAATTTTCTGAAATATAAGGTTTGAAATATTTCTGTTTATGTGTCCAAAGTATGCTTTGAAAAGCTGCTTAAAAGCAATTTTCTTCCCCTTCCCAAGAAACAAAACAAAAAAAGTAAGCTCTGATATTCAGAGAGCAGGTGAAGTTTGTTTGTTTGTTTTGGTTTGTTTAATTGCATCAACACCTTCAAGTAAGTACAGTTATCCTTTCTATGTCACAGAGTTAGAGGTGCGGTGCCCCCCATGATCTGGAAAATCCATGTAAATTTTTTTGGCCTGCCCTCCATACCAGACAAGAAGTCTGAATTATTATGGTATTAAAAGATAAAATATGTTGACATTATACAATACATGTATTTTATGTATTTCTGAGTTTCTAAACTCTTTCTGGGTCATCTGCTGGTCTTCATGAAGCAAAACTCCCCAAAAATTCCCATTTAATTTCTTATGTCTATATCAAAATTGTAATGGGGAATATCACTATGTGGAAAGGATAACTATAGTACAAATGTTATGCTTCACTGCTAAAAAAAAAATTACCATCATTGGCATGAGCAACTCCCAGTGCAAAACTCCTTCCTCCAAAGCTAATCAGCATGTGCTATATAGTTTTTAGTCTTGCAAAGTTACCTGGGCTGTATAACCAGTATGTCAGAGGCAGGACTTGAATCATCTAGACTTCTAGGATATCTTTCTATCCATTATATCACACTGCTTCTCTCAGATAGGATAGGGGACTTAACCAAGGTCATGCAACTAGTAAGAGCTGGCTTCACAATACTAACCTGGGTTTCCTGATAACAGTCCCAGAGCTCTTTTTATGCCCTAACGTTGCCTCTCTGTCTAGCGACTTCTGCTAAAATTTATAAAGATTCTAATTTGTTATTTACTCTAGTTTAAATTAACGGGAAATTTGGAGTTAATTTTCATGCCCAGGTTTCTTCAATCACTGAGCATTTCAATATATATATGAAGCCATGGTTGAGTGCTTTCAATATAAAGTAATCTATCTATCTAATCCCTGTAATTATTGGTTCAATGTGATAGCAAATGCTGATTAAGAAACTTGACTCCATAATTCTGAGCTATACTTCCTATTAGGTAGTTGTTACAGCTAATTTCACAAATTCTTAATTTAATATGTAAAAATTGTGTCTTACTAAATCTAAATTAGATTTCGATTAAGGATTCTTAATTTGTAGTGAGAGTAATTGAAATAAAATGTAATTATAGTTTGTGATTGGTTATGGCATCCTAATATAGTGCAAGCTTACGAAGATTTTCCCCAATCATATTTACTTTATGAAACCACTAAAATTTCTCTTATTTGAAGATGGTATAAGTAAGAGAAATAGCAATATGAGTAATAAAATGTTTCCTTTTTGTCTGTCACCATCAAATCATATATCATGATTCAGGAAATACTGTATAGTTCAAGGATCAACTTATCTGTGAAGTACTTTTCTTTCTCTCCCTTCACTATTCAAACTTTTTTTTCTAAAGTGCAAATTATGGTTTCTTTCTCAGAAATTCACAAAGAAAAGGCTGAAAAGCAGGAAAAACCTGAAAAGAAAATAGCACCTAAAGGTAATTGTTTTTACTTGTTTTTCATTATTTGAGTTTAGGATATATTCTTTTCATATCAGCTTCTCTGAGCAGGTTGAAATATATTTTTGCTTTAATGAGACATATAGGAGGGGAGAAAATAAATAAGGCTAATTTGACTATCTTCAAAATATGTGACTTCACAAATATGAACAAAACTGTTGCCAACTTTATGCCAATCAATGAGCACTGCATATTCAAACATGGAATAAGGTGACATAATGATGTTTCCATTATATGTAAATAGTGATTAAAGAAAGTGAAAATTTATTTCTGGATCCTTTTATGGTGAGTTTGTGGCATTCTAAAGATAAAGTTGCTTTTGAGAAACAGAGAAGTAATTGTCCTATCTATATATCTAAAATAATAATAATAATCATAATCTCTCATATTTTCACAGTGTTTGCTTTATATATATTGTCTCATTTAATCCCCATAGTATATAATGAGAATAAATTCAATACTACCAACATTTATTAAGCATCTATCTTGGGAAGCCCTGGTAATACAAGGATAAAAATGAAGCAGTCTGTGACTTCAAAGAGCTTACATTTTGCTAGACGGAAATAGAATATACACAGGTAGACACATAGGAGTCATATATAAATTAAATATTTTTGAGGTGGAGCACTAAAAATATGTTTATTTGTAGGAGAGAAGGCCTTGGGTAGGAGGTAGCACTTGAGCCTTGAAAAAAAAAAGAATCCCAAGAAGAGGAGGAAGAGTAAAATAAACCCAGTCATGAGGGACATATATGCAAAAGAATAGAGGCAGGAGAGAGAAGGTCAGTTTGGCTAGAAAATGCAGGGCATGATGGAGAATAATGCGAAACCAATTTAGAAAGATGGATTGCCTGGGCATGGTGTTCATACCTATAATCCTAGCTACTGGGGGACGCTGAAGATTGTAGATTATTTGAGCTCAGGAAGTCTTAACCTCAGTGGGCTAAAGCTGAATATTCAGGATGTCTCCACTAAATCTGGTGCCAATATCATGCCATTATATGCCACTCCTCCAGGAGTGGTGTTACCAGGATGCCTAGAGAGGTGTGAACAGGCCCAGTATGGAAACAGGGCAAATCAACATTCCTTTGCTAATCAACATGGGATTGAGCCTAAGAATGGGACCCTGGGAAAGATAGTGGGAAGAGAAGATGCAGAAGAAAAGGAGCTAGAGGAGAATGAGATAGAGAAAGAAAGGAAGCATGAGGGAAAAAAAAAACAGAGGAAGAAAAAAAAGAAGGAAGGAGAAAGGGAGGGAGGAAAGGAAGGCAAAAAAGAAGATAGTGTGCTCTATCCTATAGGCAATTAAGAGGCATAGAAACTTCTTGAGCAAGAGAGTGACATGGAAGATATATCATTATCAGTCAAGAGAAATTATAATAACTTCTAAATATGTGGTAATCTAATGGTTTTGAGGTGCTTATAGCAGTTTTATATTTGCTGAGGGCATACCATTTGGATGAATATTTGGTTGCTTTTTATGAAGCCACTGGATGATAAACATAGTACTAAAAGGAACTTTAAAAAATCGTCATGAATTGACAACAGTCCTGAGAAATGATGGGACTTCCCACACCCTAAAACTGCCATTTAAGAGCCTTAGTTTCTGGATTCCAAATTCTGGTCTTTCTTTTTTTCACTGTAATACACTGCTAAAATGTACCACAGATCACTGAAATATGTGTTTTGATCCTTCATGTCCCATGTCAGAAAATACTTTTGAAAGTATTTGGAAGAAAAATGCAAAGGAATTATATGACCCAATATGGACTTGCCATGTCCCATAATACTTCCTTTATGTGTACATGCAGCATGGACATCTAAAGGTGACAATGTGGTCATTCAAAGTCCCTTCAACAGAATTTCATTCAGGAGCATTACCAGAAAACCACTCAGAGATATAGAATTGTCTTTGCCTTCTTAACAGTTCCCCTCATTTATGGTGACTCTCTTGGCCATGATTATTTGATCAAACCTAAATTGTGATATACTAAAAAAACAGGAAATGCATCCAACCAGTGACCATTATTCTTACTATTGTATTCACAACTTTCCCTATCTCATTAGTGACTCCCTAATTCAGATGCCTCAGTAAAATGAGGAATATTTAATAGCCACTACTTTTTGTGTGATGTGAGTAGAAACTGAAAGAAATTCCAAGTGTTAAGCCTTTGGGTGTAGCTCAAAACATTGTTTGAAATAATTAGTATTGTTTATAACTTAACTGTGTAATACAATATTAATTATAATAACTACCAAATCTAAGTAATACAAAACTAGCTTCTGATTAACCTTGTGCTATGTTAATATTTGAACCATTGCAATAGTGCTCCACTTTTGCTAAATCATCTTCCTCTGAAGAGCTCAAAACACTTTATTGATATGGCCTCTTTAAGCTTAACAGTGCCCCATATGTTCCAGATTGTTCAGCCAATCCTCATATAAAACTGGACACTAACCCTTACTCATCTGGAACCTATTTTTATTTCTATTTAGGGGATTAGTGTCTGCTTACCAATCTCTCTCTCTCTCTCTCTCTCTCTCTCTCTCTCTCTCTCTCTCTCCCCTTCCCTCCCTCCCTCCCCCCCCTTCCTCTTTCTTTTTCTCTCTATTATTGCTTCTTTGTTCAGGGAAGTTTGACATAGTTTGGGATTCCTATTTGCCTATGCAAACTAAATTTGAATCTCCTTGTTTGTGTGTTTCCATTTGGATATATGAACAAGGAGAAAGAGTCACTTTTGGATTATTTTTTTATCCTTTTCTAGGTTTTACTGCTCAGTTAATGGTGTTGCTCCTGGGTTGTATCTAGCTATGCAGATGGCACCATTTGTTTTTTGGATCTGGCTTTATTTGGAACGCGCTGTCAAAGACTTCGAGCAGGGTACTGTAGAGTGGGTTTATTAAACTGTCAAAAGAGCTAGTGAGCATTGAATAATTAAAGCAGTAAATTTGGCTGTAAGTCCCCAATTTCTCAGAGCCTATCCTAGAGTCAAGGAGGCTGAGTAGCCTGGATAGATTTCCTGAATATCTCAGATATATTTGGGGTGCTGAATAGTTCTCAGTAATGAGGGAATGTAGTTTAATGATTACAGAACAGTGCTGTGGATTAGGTAGATGAATTTTAGACCTTACTCTACACATTGGCTTCTAGTATGATTGAGGTTAAGAAACTGTACATAATTTGTAAGTTCCTTATTTATGAACAGGAGCAGACTAGAATCTTCCTATTTTTGTGAAAATAAGCATGTATATACATACATAAATATGTATATAGATATATGAATCTATATACACATGTGTTATGTTTGTATGTGATGGTACATTAGTTTCTCTGTGTGAAGCTGTGTTTCAAAGTACTTTAACTCCCTCATAAAATACACATTGTACAAGGTTTTAATAGCAGTTAGTGTTATGTAAAAGGGGATGATGGATTGATTGTTCATCAAAGAGTTATGAGGTAAATCTGACTTTGAAAAGTATAGCTACATTGTATTGGGTGTTTTTGAAGGAGGAACTTCTGATTTTAGAGAAATAAGATACTTCATTTAGATTATTTTTATAGGAGGGAGTTGTGATTTGGGGGAAATCAGTTATTTCTCTCATTATTGTCTTAATTTTTATTCACTTTCCATAATTCATTTCTTAAAATCTGATGGTTTTAGAATTTTAAGGGACCTTAGAAATTATCCAATTCACTCATTTCTTGCTTTTTTTTTATGATGTAGAAAATGAGTCAGAGAATTTGTCTAAGGTCTCAATACAAGTAGTAGAACAGGGACAACTATAACTAAGATGGGACAATTAAAGAATTGTCCAAGGACTGAAAATTTTGAGAGTGAATCTGAAGGGCCACTGGTAAGCTATCCATTCTTTTAAAAAAGAAGGCAGGGGCAGGGCTTAGTAGTAAGGAATGGGGTTGAGTTATGGACAAGTTTAACCAAAAATAGGATGGTGAGATCAGGCAAGGAAGTTTAATTGTGAAAGGGTGAAGAGTGGTGCATAGCCTTTAGAAAAAAGTCAGGTCTGGAGGAGAACAAGTTCCAGCCTGCTCTAATTCTCTGGTCAGGGAGTTAAGCCAAGGCCTGGCTCAGCAATCAAGCCTCCTCAGTGCAGAAAACAAATTGACTTTAAAAGAAGAAAACTCAACATTTTCAAACTTATATTGAACCACAGATCTTTCAGAACCCTAATGAGAATTATGGTTCCATGTATTGTTTGCAAATTGTTTGGTGGCCCAGCCCTCTTCTTCAAAACTAAGACCTGCTATATGCATCTAACATTAAGAAAATGTAAGCCATTTGATTTGGGTGGTGTTCTCTCTCTCTCTCTCTCTCTCTGTATCTCTCTTTCTTGGCAATTGGTGTTAAATGACTTGCCCAGGGTCAAACAGCTGGTGTCAAGTGTCTGAGACCAGATTTTAATTCATTTCTTCCTGATTGCAAGGCCAATGCTCTACCCACTGCACCACATAGCTGCCCCTGGGTTGCTCTCTTCTTAAGCCAGTGGTTAATTTTGAAAGTATAAGTAACCAAGGACCACAGCATGAAAACAAAAGCACAGAAAATTTAAATACTAACAGGGGAAATAAAGCTCATGGTGAAACTCAAGTTTTAAAATTTGTGTATTATCATTCCAACTTTTTGAATAGTCAATGTGTTTTACTTCTTTTATGAGAAAAAAGAAATGTGCTTATATCATTCCTTATATTGGAGAATATTTCCCCTTTATAACCAAGTTATTCATTTTATACTTATAGTTACATTATAAAATAAAGAGTAGATATTATTTTAATATTTCAGCAAGAAATGACTGATTACAAAGGACTTTACCCATATGTGGGCATACATACCAACCTTCCTGTTTTCTGGGCAAAGAAATGAAAATAGGAAATATGTTCGCATTATCATGTTGTATCTTGGAGGGTTTCTAGAATATACATCAGACTGCAAAAGCATTTGCTGCTTATTGTTTCTTAATTCA